TGGCATTTCTCCTGGTGACTTGCCTCCCATAAGGCTTTTGGGATTGGAAGAGCTGAAGACAACATCATGAACTGAGATAAGTGTGGTGTTGCGCTCTTGAAGTAAAGACCTTGCGTCCCTCAAAGGGCTCATGAAACCTTGTCCTGCTCTCTCCTGGTCAAACCACACATATTTATTCTTAATCATCACAGACATTCTAATGTGCAATTGTTTTTAAGATTTGTGGAAAAATCAATAAAGAAAAATCGTCATGGAAAATTCTACTATGCCTTGAATCAGCAAAGGTGGCTAAATGGAAGGCATTTGCCGATTGCCCAGAGAACAACCCTTTCATCAACAAGGGTACGCAATCCACTGCTATTAAGAGATCAATTTTTGGTTGGTATTTTTGGTTTTGGTAATCAAACATAGAACCAAAGTAATCAGGTGGCTCCCAGATTCTGCTGGCATGTCGCCATCATCAGTCAGTAGTAATACCTTTGTGTTTTTATCCACTTGTAAATATAGGCTTTTGACAACATTTGTTTTCATCTTCCAGTACATTTATTTCTACTTTTTTTTTTTTTTTTTTTTTTTTAAGTTAAAAAGGTGACTTTCTAGCTATTTTCTGTGTCTTTGCATGGTGGGGTGATAGCCTCAGGTGATGAGCTTTAGGAAAGTTTTTCTTCATTATGTTTTTGTGCCTACAGTGGAGGCTTCAACATCTCATGAAACACAGTTATATCTTTAGCAGAAGACCAAAAAGCAGAAACCCAGCCAAGTAACTCTCCCTAGCTATACCCAGCCTCTCAGATCCGTAAGACACCACATTCGTGTTAAGTGTACAAACAGAAATGGGTGGAAAGTAGCTGAACAAACCTGAAAACTGTAGAGGAAAATGCCGTTAGTGACCAGCCTATGCAGAGATACTCACAAAGCCTTGTCAGTCAACAAACTCACTGAGAACCAGAATTGTACCAGCATTGTAGGCTCACTTGTGTCCAGCAATTTTGGCCCCAAGATTGTGTTGTAACTTTTTAAGAGGAAGTTGTCTTTAATTTCTGCTTTAATGAATGTAAAATATGGCTCTTGGTAAAGTTTACACTGTTGTTCTGAAGCATTTTTTTTTCCCCATATAGGTATAGTGGTGGTGGTGCTACAAACACAGATATTATTTAATATTAACAAATTCCCTTTCTACATTTCTGTATCCAGTGGCAAATACTCTGTGCCAGTTATTTTTCTTTAAACTTTAATCCAAAGAGACCTAATGTTCTGATCTTTGAAAATTTACCTGTTTTCCTTGGGCAATAATAAAGTTCCGACTGTTATTCCAGAATGTTTTCCACATGCTGTAGGTATGTTCAGAATATGAACATGGAAAAAAACTTTAAGCCTGGTGTGACATTTCATATCCTCCATAGAATATTAATATATTGTATATTTTTATAAATGTTGTGCAATAACTTAAATTACATTAGAGATAAAAGCAGAGGAGAAAAAAATTCTTCAAATATTGCTCTATCTGCATATTAAACATTCATCCATTGGGACGGTAAAACACAGTCTCCTCTTAAAATACAGTCCTCTCTGTGGATTTTCAGCTTTCATTACCAAGACAGCTATGGGTATATTTTCATAATAATCTAAGTAACCAGTACATATGTTATATACAGTATATCCACTGAAATACAGATGGGAAAAAACCAGTCAACGGAACTGTATTTCTGTGAAGAACACAGGTATTGTACTGTGGCCCTAAGGAAAGGAAGCTCTGATCTCGGATGTGATCCTGTACTCTTCAGCCTCAAAGGCATCTGATAGCTGCTTAGGTTTATATAACCTCATTATTCAGTAGAATGCTTCTTAAAGAATGTTTCTCTGAAGCCACTAAAGGTAACGTGCATACATTGGCATTTCCACTCTGCCACACTGTCAATGATACAACTGACATTCTGCCTTTATGCAGTTGTAGCTGAAATAAGGTGAGTCTTAACACCATGAAAAAGAAATTGGTCTAATTCTAGACAGGCTCTTCACTAAAAATAAAATGGAGAAAAAAAAGATAAGAAAAAGATCACAAGTCAATAAATGATTAAACTGGCAATGGTAATTTACTGGAATTACTGTCTACCTGTTGTTACTCATACAGCACAAACAAGGTACATCAAAGGGAAAAAAAAAAAATAAAAAAAAAGCAGCCTTTCATAGCACAGCTTTTTGAGCTCCAAGAAATTCACAAGCCTGTAAAAAAGTGTGCCTATGTTAAAAAGTTTTCAAAATTTTCCTGGGCAATGAGAGGTCATTTCTGGAAAAAAAGTCATCTTCTCTGACAGTCCCATGAGGCATTAGCATGTTTTTAGAGATATTTATAAAACAGACCCTTAGCTTGTATTAGTTGTTCACATCATCTTGTCTGCAGTCAAATCAGACTAATTTATAAAGCAAGGACAAGACACGATGTTAATTATTCCTTATGTGGGAATACATCACCAGGAACTGTTTCTGGTTTTGTGTGTGTTTAGGTACAGCTCTCTGTGCATCTGCCTGCTGTACAGAATACCTCACCCCCAAGTGGCAACTCAGCAGGGCTGCGTGCAGAAAGAGTTGCTCAGAGTGAGCTAACGTACCTGACCTTGGCTCTTGGTGAACTGTCTGTGATGGATTATTTTAGTGTGAATTTTCATACCAATTTTTTTTTTTAAAAATGTAAATATGCCATGCAGAATACGCCTTTGCCCAAGGAGTTTTTACCCCATTTATATTCACGGGTAAACTGAGAAACACAATATGCTAACTTATTAGCCACACAGCTTTTAAGACAATTTAGAATAAACACAGGACCAAGAGCTTTTTTTTTTTTTTTTTTTTAAAATGATATACAAGGGTCAGCTGCTACTGTCAAGTATAGGAGTATAAATCTGGAGTGAACCCACTGAGGTGAATGCATTAATTTGGGAAACATGCAGCATATATGAGTGCAGAATTTAATTTTTTAATCTGAATAGTCTATACTCCATTCCCAGAGTGCCTAATGTCTTAAAAAAAATCAGTGAAGGCTAATACTCCCTTCTATGCCAGCCCCACTGTGTTTGCATGGTCCCAGTACAGAAGACCTCTCAGACCCCATACTACACCAGGAGAGACATGGGATTGGTCTGGGAAGCTCATGGGTTTGTTTTCTAAAACAATGCTGTGTTTTCTGCTTTCTAACGGTTCGCTTTTCCTTAATCAAAGATCAGGCTGAGCTATTAACTGAAAAAAAAAAATGTTGGAAAGGATGTAAACCCAAAGGCTATATATGTATATACAGTATGTTTAAAGCCTTTTATTTTTATATTTTGAATGCTCTAAATTAATAAAAGACTAATTATGAATGCTTTTGCTTTTAATTTTCAAAATTATCTTAGCAGTGTCTTCTCTTTGGCTAAGTACCAATAATGAAAAGCAAGAACAAGGAACTTTTGTCTTAAAATTATAAACTGTAACAGAGCTAATGTTATTGATTTTAGCTATGAAGTAATATAGGTATGAGAAGTCACTGTTGTCAAATTTAGACAAAAGAGAGGTTTACTGAGCATGTCAGTGCAAGCATCCTTGAAAGTGCTGAGAACACGTTTCTATTTTTAGTTTTTGTTGCTTTTCTAATGCATTAAAAACACTTGTGAGACAAGGCTTCACATGTGAACTGTCATTTTCAAGCAACAATTTGGAAAGATATTTCTTTAGGATTGCTGAGAAAAATGTTTCTACTGCCTTAAGAGGAAGAAAATTTAAAGTTAACAGCGTGAGTCTAGTATGGGATGATACAGTAACACAGCAACTGCAAGATAAGCATTCATTTGACAGCAATCCAGTTTAGATAATGGGAATGTTTTTCTAACAAAATGTGTAATTTTAAGTTATTTAAGGAGTTCTTAAAAAGAAAGCATAGAGTGGCACAACTGCATAAACAGAAACTATGTCTTCAATTAGCATAGCAGAAATCCTACTTCAAAGAGCTAGTTAGAATGGCTAATAAAGACAGAACTATATCACTGAAAAATTATTTATATTTACATGGACTGGGAAAAGCAACAATCTTAGTTTTAGAGCAACATGCTTAATGTATAGAAAGATTCATTTCTTCAAGGTGTATGATTAGCCAATTACCACTGCATATGTGCTAATAATCTAGAACATTGTTTCTCCAACCCATGACAGGCCAGAGGGACAGTCAAGGTGCATTGAGCATTTTTATCACAGGACAGCTTGTTAAGCAATAGTATATGAGGGTGGATAAAAAAATCACAGTAAAATCTCGTACACCCGAAAGTGTGTGTCTTTTTCTGTTCATTTGTTCAGTAATTTCTTCTACAATTCCCACAGTTTTTTTGGCTCTTCTATGTAACTTGATTCTGACCAATTATTTTCAGTATCTTCTGTGACCTGAGTGAGATTTATGCACTACATATGGCCAAGAATCAGTAGATTTAACAGTCTGTCTGTTTTTAAGGTTGTGGTTGGTCATCCTGTTCTTTTACTGTCCTAACTCCCAACAACTTAAGAAGCTTATCTATCAGTTTTGAAATTGTACTGCACTGAATTGAAACGAGACCTAAAACTGTCTCAAGAGTTTGCAGAGTATGGGTCATGCTCTTAACATGGGGTAAATGGAGCTGCTACCTGTAGCTTAGTATCTGCACCCACAGAATTATTCTTTTTTTTTTTTCTTCAAAATTCCCTGAAAGTGATTATCTGCTATTTCAACTGAAATGTTTAAAAAAAGTGTATTGACTGCGTATTATAATTCAGTGTCCAGAATTTTCAGTTTACTTTTGGAAAACTAACTTGTTCCTATGTCTTCTATATATTTTGTTTTGATCCAGTAAAACAATTACAAATATCAATTCTGCTATTTATTTATGCGCTGACAGAAAAGCACATGTCTAATTATTTTCTTGGATCAGGACCTGACAACCAAATTTTATTTGAACTGTATTAACACCGGTGTAATCTGAGGGCATTAACACTATAAAGGATGAGAATCACTTTTACTTTTTTAAAGTGTACTGTAAAACGAAAATAATTTTAAAGAGTACATTTTTCAGACGTGCTGCTTGTGATCAACTGTGTCCTGAAGCCATGCATAAACGTATTCGTAAACCAAAAGCATCACTGCACCACCTGCAAGAAAATATACTATTTTACTACATACAAAATTCAGTATTGTTAAGATTTTGTAGAGCATTTGTCATGTGGAATATGAACAAGAATATTGCAAAGTCTTATTTGCAAAATGGATAATTCTACTAATTCCCTAATTCATCAGAAATTCACTAAATCTTAAACCATACCAATTTTACTTAATATGAGACCAAAAGATGATGTGAAGAGCTTGTATAATAAATCAAAATCACCTTCAATGTGATTTTTCCTAAGGTTTTTTTTTCAAGATTAATATTTTTCTTTGTTCTTTTACAAGTGAATATTTGTGTATTTGTTCAGAGTTACATTTGGCCAAGAAAGAGCAACTTGAATAGTGGAATGAAAAAAGATTCATCACCATGGTGATGAAAATGCTTCCAGGTAAGAGTCAGAGAAGGTTTTCAGCTGTTTATTTACCTGTCTAAAGCAGACAACACAGTATTGAAATGAGTATGATCCTCCTGTGCTGGTACCTGATCTGAGGAAATGGCATTATCTGCTAGAACTGATAACGCTATGACATCCCAGCTTCAGTGCCATAAATGCAGAATCCCGGCTTCATGCACTGCTAGTGCAGCCAGACTAAAGCCTTCCTGTAACCTTCTGTAATTAATGTATGAGCCAAAGAAGGGAACACTTCAGAGGGTGTATATACATATATATATATGTCTCTGTATGTGTGTATATATATATAAACTAAGCACATAGAGATGCTTCTGGTTGGAGAAGATGGGGAACGAGAATCAGATTTCAGCCAGTGGGAGTGTGTTACAACGTGCCACTTGTGGGTGCCAGCACTGAGGCACAAATACTCTTTTCGTTGCCTTTGCCTGTTGTCTCTTTTACTAGGTTAGAGTGGCACCTCTGAAAAACAAGTCTGCTGAACTAGGCTGACCTTTCCTGGTAGATGAGATAGGCTCAGAAACTAGGCATACAGAACTATCACGTGAGTTTCCCCATGTTATTTATCCTACTGAATCACCATCAGACTTGAAATCCTCTATGAACAGCAACTCACAGACAGCTAAACACAGCAAAAGTTTGCAAAAGGCTTTGACCAACACACAAATCATAGACACAGTCTAAGATGTGATTTGAACTCAACCCAAGGCTGATTTCAATGCTAATAATGTTTGGTCTGTTTGTGTCTCTCTTTTTCTGAAAGTATTCACATGTTGAAAGAAGGAATTACCCTTCCCAGTCACAATAAAAATTGCAGTATTGTTTCATTGGAAAGCCAAATCTATATGTTAGTCAATGGGACTACAAAGGTGTTTGGAATGAAATGTATACTTACCTGACTGGGCCAGAGTTCATAGTTATTTGTAAGATGGAAAAATGTATTCAAAAATCGGCTTTGCTAATAGGTACCCGGGAAGTGAAACCTTGCCTTTGTTTTGCCCTGTATGTAATCCAGCATCTTTGGAGTGTTTTAGCTTCAGTTATGCCTAGCTGCCCTGTTTCCCCTCCCCACCTTCCTCCTTTACCTTGCACAATAGCCAGGCACGGTCTAGCACTTCGCTAGACGGATTGGATGTGCAAACATTTACAGACAAAACGAATGCCTCCTTTATACTGCAGAACAGACTCTGTACCTACTTGCTTTTAACCATGTGTGTTCTTGCCTATTAAACCACCTTGCACAACTGGAAATACAATTTCATGGGAATGGGATACTGTTCAAATTTGGGCTTCTGCTCTTTTTGAGACAGACTGCCTCTGCAGGCCGGCAAAGTCTAAGGGCCCAGTGCTTTGCTTTCATGATTAATCAAAAACAGTCAGGGAAAAACAGTCTAAAAGTCGAGGAAGACCTAGCTTTCAACCACTGTGCTTCTGCATTTGGAGTAACAACTAGTGAGAGGGTGTCAATCAACAAATGCAGTTTTAAGCTATCCTTGTCCTCATAGCCTTCTAGGGCCATGCAAGTCCCTTCCCAGCTCATGTTTTTGTCCTTTTAGTGTTTGTTCTTCACAGCCCCTGCAGACCACAGGAGAGGAAAGTAGCTGGAATTTGATATGCTTGGGCTATACTTCGAGTAGTTGGGAGCATTTACACTGCAGAGACTCTAACCTGCATTTTAAGCTAACTTTACATGGCTACAGAACAGTCCTGGCAAAACAAAAACAAAAACAAAGACACATTAGAAGGAATAGGAAGTTTTAAGAACAGTTTCAAAGATTTTACAGTTCTGGCATTTGCATGGATGCTCTTTGGCTTGTTCACAAATAAAGTAACTGCACAAACTAGCAGTTACTTGGATCTGCAATCCTCTGCTGTGTATTCGTAATAATTTTTTTAGACACATACTAAGCCAAATTCTTCTATGATACTATTAGATGATGCTGTTATCAAGAGAAATTATTCAAAAATGAAAGATTTTGATGATTTCTGGTACACTGTTTTATTTGACTGATGCTCACTATATTTTGTCAAAAAAATGAAAAACAGAATGAGAAAGCAAGAACAAAAGCAATATAGTGACAGGGAGAAAAATACCTGGACCAAGTCTCATGATCTTGGGAACCAAGCCTTTGTACAGAGCCAGAAATCTGTAGGAGAAGAAAAACAAACAAAACATTTCACACAATATTCTTGCTCCAAAAGAAGAATGGAATTTTAGCATGTGTTTGTTAAAATGCTGGCAGAGCACTTAGAAGCAATTATTTGAAATTACACGTGTTCAATAGCAGGCCGTATCTGGATTTTAACATTTTACAGAGGCAGATCAGATGAAGAGAAAAAGTTAATCAATGTTCAGTCACAAAGGCAATGTTGTGAGCCTAGCCAATCAGAAATATGACTTTAATCAGTGAGATGGTTTTTCTTTCAAGACAAGTCTGTTAACAACAGCTGCATACATGGACAAAATGACTGCTATAATTGACTATCAAAGCTACAACTCAGTCCCCACTTGAGAAATACGTTAAAAAGTTGGAAAACATTATTGCCACCAGGATCTGTCCCAAATTTAGTTATTTCAGCAGTCATTTTAAAGGTACAGAGATCTGTAGAATGACAATAAGATTAAATTGGGAAATAACTCTGTTTTCTGTTGACATTTTCCTTTTAGAAAATGAAGAGTTGAAAAAGTTACACAAGATACACAAAGCATTTATTTTTTGAATTTAAAATATGACAACCCAATAATCATAAGTATTCTGTAAAAGTTCACATGGAGTAGGAGGATACCTCCTTCTAATTCTAAAAAAAAAAACATTTTTAAAAAGTTACATTGTACTCTTTTGATATGTGAGTTCAGGGTGGCTTAACAATCCTCATCAAATCTGAATATAACAACACAGTTTTATGGACCTGTATGAACTAAAACAGAGATCTGGACATTTATGAAGATAGGAATGTTTTACCCTTCCTCTTTATAGACTGTTGCCATAGTTTTAAAACAGGTTCTGTACTTGATCTGTCCAGGAACTGGCTGTGGTCCTTGAATCCTACTTTTTGCAACATCAAAAGGAATGTTAATAATTGAGGCTATTGTTCCTGAGACTAGCCCAATTCCAAATTTCCTCAAAAACTCCAAATTTGGATCCTACAAAAAAAGAGAGAAAGAAAGAATAAAAAAGGGAAATGGAAGGACCTGTGCAGGTTAAGCACTATGAAGTAATATGTATTTAATCAGAAAACTCACACAACACAACACACTCGTGTTATTTTAGCGGAACACATTAGGATTTCCTATGCTGGAACTTGTTTTCTTGACAATCCTATTGGCTATGTTTTTACACATGGTCTAAATTGCTGAAGTACACATTTCCTCACACAGGATTTATAAACACAGTTCATAAAGAAAGACTGGTATGGCATATGGGGATGATTTGTATAATTGGGCTTCACAATGTACTTAGTATTACTGTATCAAAACAGGAGAAATCCAAGCACACTATTAGCTAATTGGCCAGAATATTTTACAAATGACAGCAACTTCCACCATGAAGCCTACTAAAACGCTCATTTGTGTGTTGGACCCCCAAATGCTAAATTAAATAAAGGCTAATCTCAGTCTGCTGCCATTCCCCTCCAGGTTTTTTACATTTATTTTCACATGTAGCTGATCCACTGTACTGAGAAGTGCTAGCTTCCTGTTATTAACAATCCAACTCAGCACAACTGCAAAAGAGCCTCCACGTTCTGCGCATTATGAACCCTGGTAACTCGCTCAGCTAATTGGCTGAAGAATTTACAACAGATTGTTTCTGAACCCTGCTACATATTCTCAGTAAAAGTTAGAAGCAGGTTAGAAGTGCATCTAAAAACTTCTTTGCTCACTCACAGTGCAACTGGGGTTTATTTGATCTTTCAGAAAGACCTCCTACCTTGGCGTTTTCTATGACATCAAAGAGCCCACAGTTTATCTGGGAGTCAAAGTCTCTTGAAGCAAGCTTAATCCTATTTCTCTAAGTAGTGGAAGTCACAGGGAAGTGTGTTCCAGGACACTTCCTATGCACAGAATTTTTTTGCTGTTTTTCTTCAGCAGCAAGGACATTTTTTTGCCATACCAGACTCTATATATGCAGTTCCATTTTTTTTTTCCCCTTGAAGGTACTATTATTATAGTAATTTATACAAAAGCATCAGTAAAATAACAAATGTTCTTGCCCTGTTATAACATCAGTGTAATACTAAACCGAAAGAGTTCTTTGTTTCCTAAACATGGACATTTGTGATTAAAAATTGAAACAATTAGAAGCTTTCCTTTCCAGATCAGTAACAAAAACCATAAAGTAAAACTTCCATAATATGCGCTGGATGAAGTCCGTACAGGTGCTTAGAGAGAAAAGTCAAAATCAACAGGGCTTTTTATTACCTGCAGAAAGCCTCAATACCTTGATTTCACAAAACATGTAACATACTTGTAATACCTTTTAAAAATTAGAATAGCCTGTGGTACATAAAGAATTGCGAGACTTTATTAGCAAAAATATTAGCAAGAAATTGCTGTCTATTCTGTACACACTGACAGTGGTTTAAATGCAAATCAAAGAAACCTTATATTTTTGTTATCTAGAAAAGAAAAAAAGGGATCTTTTTTGAAATTCAAGGGGCAGCAGTATGGCAGCCCCTTTCCAGCATGGTACCTTCCTGCCTCTGGGCAGCAGGCATGTGATGATTATACCCACACCTGAGAGCCAATTACAACTCCAGATTGCACTAATCTCCTCAAACCAAGCTGCACTGAGGATGCTACCACTGATCTGTTGACTTTTCATAGTCCAGAATGGTGTGAAGTATTTTTGTCGTGAAACTTGGCACAAGGACACTTTCCTCCATAGCATCAAGCACAGTGGGCTGCTCTCTGGGCTAGGCAATATATGTCAGGCAAAAATATTTAGTTGTTAAACATTGAATTTCAAGCCTTGCTGTCCTAACAAGACTTTTATATTTGAATGATTGATTATTTTCATATTTTGATGATTTCCCAACGCCAGCATTGTCTGCTTTATGATTGAGAGTGGCACAGTATAGGATACAGCGGGTATCTTCTTAAGCGAGCATCTATTAAAACCTGACACTGAACTAATGCAACTAAAGTGAAATTACAAATGGCTTTATTTGTATTCCAGTATTTGTGACAAAAAAAAGTTGAAAGGCAGCATCTTGCCCATTCATAAAATGGGATTTTAACCAAATGTGCCATGGCATACACTAGCTTTGCTATGTAACTTAATTTTTTATTATATATCTCTCATGTGAAGGTTTTTTTTTTTTCCTGTTGCATTTGTCACTGTAATATCTGGCTCATTTAATTCGTATAACAGATTCAAAATAAATTCAGCTGTTAAAAAGAATTAAAGAGTTATTTTTTTTCTAGCAGGATTTTGCTGTGCTAATGCTTCCAACTGAAAAAAAGAGATTTCCAAACATAATTTAGTCCTCTGTCTACAACATTTTACATGGACAAAGGAACACTGGCTGCCTACCAGGCAGGTGCAAGTTGGTGCTATCAGGAAGCAGGGTCTTTCTTTTTACATCAAAATTTGTTCTTTTCCTACACCATGGAAAAAGCCAAAATACTCCTAACAGTCTAGGATCCTGTAAAAGGGGGCAAAGATCAGGTATCTGTCTAGTGCAAATAGCTAGCAGAGGCAGTTAGCATGTTATTGACACTTTCTGCACCACACAGTTCACTGTTCAAATATCATGTTTCAAGTTTCATATATTGTGCACTAGAAAAAAAAAGATTCTGACAAGCTCCTCTTGCTTTCATAAATGGGAGAACTGGAAAAAAAAATTGAATTCTGTTTTTAAGCAAAGGTGACTTTTAGGTAGTATGAGCAGAATATATAGAACAGAAACTTGATTTTAGGTGTCATTCCACAGTATAGTAAGCCACAAGGAAGTGAAATACCAGTTTACTTATTCACAGTGGAATAGCTTTGCTATGGTTGGATAAAGTAATCTGTGGTCATCTCACCTCTCTGTTACCATGCTCTTCACAATCACATTACCTGTACACCTGAGTCCCTGCCCTCTGAGCATCAGCAGCCATTATAAAGTGAGAAGTAAGCATCACTAATAAATGCCATATCTATGTATGCCCTGATGGACTTCCCTGCTTTCTTGGCAGAAGAACTTTTGAGATATTATGTCTCTACTTTTTATACTTCATTAGTCCTATCATAATTTTTTTTAATTAAGTGAAGACTCTAATCTCCTCCTGAATTGTATGTTGCTTAATTCCTTCTTTTATAATCCATATTTTCTAGCAACATAAAATTCTAACCCTGAATCTAGCACAGCCATGTATAACTGTCACCCACTGGAAACAGTTTTAATTTATCAATTTCAGCCTCCAAAGCCCCAGGCTTTCCTTTCCATACCACTTCATTCACCTGTTAATTTGCTGTGCACTTTACCAAAACCTCTGTATAAATCTTTGATTTCTGTAAAAAGCTTCCAGACTATCTTCATCTGTACTGAAGGAAGGTTACTTAATTCAATAAGCAGCACATATATTAATCCATGAATGAAATAACTCTTTGGTAAAGGCATGTGTGCTTGGAGATCAGTTAATTTTTTCAGAAAGTTGAAAAATAATTTTAGAATAGATAATTTACTCATCATGGGAGTTATATTTGTACTGATTTAGAGACCCACCTTAGGTGCTATCCAAAGGTTCAAAGGTAGGACAGCACACTCACATATGCAGTGGAGAGAAGTAGGTACCTTTAAAGGAACAGCTCAAAGTCCCTAAGGTAGGTTGCTTGAAGTAAGCAGAAATCAATAACATAGACAGTCCACTGTCATGCATAATAGTATTTAGAAACTTGACCACAGAGACACTCAGGAACACTACTTGTTCTTCCCTTGTGAGGCCCCATTCAGTTTGTGTAAAAGTGGAATAATGTGTCACAGAGAAAGTTATAAAACCTATTACACACACACAAAAAAAAAAAAAAAAAAAAAAATAAAAATAAAAAAAATCAGTAAATATGAATTTGTCTAATGGAAACTATTTTAGAAGTTTGTTTTCTTCAGTATTTGGATATTTGTCTTGAGATATTTTAACTTTTTTTTTTTTTCAGGTGACAGAGGTACATATCTTATGAGAAAAAATAATAAATAAGTTTTAGTACTTCTGAGCACCTCATAGATAAGTTCACTATGAAACACTAACGTTTAACTGGATAAAGAGAATGCCAGTTTCTGACAATTTGCATGAAAAGTAAATAATAATAGAATCATGTTTGAGGTTGGTAATTGCAAAGCAGTCTACTGAAGCTAGCCCAAAACTAATACTTAGAGTAGAATATTTGCATTAAGTTTTTTAAACATCTTTGAAAATGTTAGCTATAAGATATTAGTTTTATATATGAGATACACTTGGCATAAAAGTGCCAAAAGTGATTTGAAATGACCACTGAATTTAAGTACATTTGCTCAAGGTCACATAATGGGCCAGCAGAGAAGCCAGGAATGGAGCTGAGAGGCTTCACACTTTATGCTGCACATTCCACCTTCCTGTGTGTGACAGGGCAGACTTCAAAATACAAGGCTTTGGTTTGGCCAACTCTGGTTCTGCTCAGTGTACCTAAGAACTATGGGGCTGAAGAGGGAGACAGGCTAGGAACGAGGTGTAGAGCTGCTTCTCGGTCCTTTTGGCTAAGGCGAAGTGTAATAGCATAGGAAATCCTATGGCAAGCTAAGAGGTGCCACAAGACCTGACCTACGCTACACTGACTATAATCAAGTGTTTGGCAGCAAAAAAGGCTGTAAAGAGCCAGCCTGGTAATTGGTTTTAACCACTAAATGGAGCTGCATTTGGCAACAGATGGGAAGAAAGGAACACAAGGGTCTGAGGAGGGGGAGCTTCTAAGTCAGAGGAGAAAAGGTACATTCAGAGAGCAGTAAAGTGGGAGATAACTCTCAGAAAAAAACCCAAGAAACAGATGAAAAACTCAAATGAGCTACTTTAAACACAGAGACTGAGCCAGAACCCAGAGGATATACATGGTCCGGGTCTTCATGCTGAGTTCTACAGGAGAGCTGGGAAGAAAGACTGTCAAATTCTCCTCTTTAAGAGGGAGAGCC